ACTTGGTGGACCGGTCTCCATCGACTGCTATCGACGGTAAGACTCCGGAGGAGGTATGGCCTAGTTCTCCTACTAGTTATAGTAATCTGGTAATATTTTGGTGTCCAACGTATGCTCATGTGAATCAGGGAAAGCTTGAACCGAGGGCTAAGAAATGCATATTTCTTGGTTATCAGCCCGGGGTCAAGGGATACAGATTATGGTGCCCAAGGGCTTCAGGAAAGAAGATACTTGTTAGCAGGGATGTGACCGTTCACGAGTCTGTGATGCTTACTCCGCAGAAGGAAGTAGTTGATTCAGGAAGAGCTCAAGGTGTCAGTGGGTAGGTGGAGCATGTAGAGGTTCAATTAGAGGATAGTCATGATCGGTCGACTAATAAGCAGTTGAAGTTTCAGGTTGAGGGAGATGCACAGTTGCAGCAGTATAATGTAGCTAGAGACAGGCCTAGGAGGGATATTAGGCCACCTGAGAAGTATGGGTTTTTACATGCTGATTCGGTTGCTTATACACTTAGTGTGGCAGAGGATATCGATGAGCAGGTACCAAGTACTTATCATGATGCCATCATAGGTGGAGAGTCAGCACAGTGGTCTATTGCAATGAGTGAGGAGATTGAGTCTCTTCATAAAAAAGAGAATTAGGAGCTAGTTAAGAAGCCTTAGGGACTTTAGATTGTTGGTTGTTAATGGGTCTTCAAGAAGATGGAAGGACCTCCAGAGGTGGAAGATGTGAGGTACAAGACACGCTTGATGGCTGTACACAAAGGGAAGGGGTAGACTTCAATGAAGTGTTTTCTCCTGTGGTGAAACATAGTTCAATCCGGGTGTTACTTGCTATGGTTGCTTTGTATGACTTGGAGCTTGAGCAGCTTGATGTCAAGACTGCTTTCTTACATGGCGAGTTGGAAGAGCAGATTTATATGCATCAGCCTGAGGGGTTAGAGATTCTAGGAAAGGAAAATCGTGTTTGCCTGCTGAAGAAGTCCTTCTATGGGCTGAAGCAGCCCCCTAGACAGTGGAGGCATGTGTGTGTACCAACTATGAAAAAAAAAAAAAAAAAAAAAAAGAAAAAAAAGAAAAGAAAAGAGTGATGTAGCCCTAGTGGCTGAACCACGTAATATCTGTATTTTTTGCTTGTTTCATTTCTCTCTTCACTTCTATTTCATTATTTGCAACATGGTATCAGAGCCTAATTTCTCTTCCTACGTTCAGACCCCTATGTTGGGGTATTCCCTTAGCATCTGAAATGTTGCTAAGGGTTTCTCAATGCTATTTGTGACTTGTTTAGGCTGCTAATTTGTTCAGCAGTAATGTTCTTCACCTATGCCGGGTCTCCGGCAGTTTTTATTGACTTGTTTGGGTTGCCAGTGTGTTCGGTAGCATTATCTTTGTCTTTGCCGTGTCTCCGGCAGATTTTATCAACTTGTTTGGCTTCCAGTGTGTTCGGTAGCATTGCTCTTCGTCTTCTCACTTCTCTCTTCATCATTTACACTTGTTGTTACTCATCATCTCAATGGCAAGTTGGGCATTCATACTCCAACTTGAGGGGGAGTACTGAAGATTTAACGAAGGAATCAGTGGAGGAAAATCTTTCAGTAATTGATATTGTTTCCTATTATTGAAGATTCGGTGTTACTAGAGGAATCAGTGGAGAAAAATCCTCCTTGTTGCCTATTTTCTAATTCTTTCCATTCTCATAATTTATTCTACTATATAAAGGAACCTCCACCATTGTATTGTGTATGTATTGAGAGAGTATTATAAAAGTGATGTAGCCGTAGCCCTTTGGCTCTTTGTGCCGTGATGTGGGCCCTAATGGCTGAATCACGTAATATCTGTGTGTTCTACTAGTTTCATTTATCTACTATTCACTTATATTTCATTATTTACAACAGTGTGTATCATAGGAGGCTCTTAGATGGTTTGTATTTGTACTTCTTGTTGTATGTTGATGACATGTTGATAGCTTGCAAGAACATGTTTAAAATCAACTTGTTGAAGGCTCAACTTAGTGGTGAATTTGAGATGAAAGATCTTGGTGTTGCAAAGAGGATATTTAGTATGGAAATTCACAGGGATAGAGGAGCAGACAATTTATATTTGTCACACAGGAAATACATTGAGAAGGTGCTGGAACACTTCGGTATGCAAGCGTCAAAACCTATGAGTACTTCATTGGCTACCTACTTTAGACTTTCAGCACGATTGTCACCATAGGCCAAATAGAAGGTGGAGCACATATCTCGTGTTCCTTATGCTAGTGCAGTTGGTAACCTCATCTATGCTATGGTGTGCACTAGGCCAAACATTTCATATACAATTAGTGGAGTAAGCAAATACATGGATAGACCTGGAAAGGTCCATTAGCAGGCTATGAAGTGGATATTACGGTACTTGCAAGGCACTGCAGATGTTAACTTAGTCTACAAAAGAGGCAGTAACACATGTGGTAGTGTTGCTCGATATGTTGATTCAGATTATGCTAGAGATCTTGATAGAAGGAGATTCTTGACAGGGTATGTCTTCACTCTTTGTGGGAGTGTGGACAGTTGGAAGGCAACTTTGCAGCCCGTAGTTGCATTGACTACTACTGAAGCTAAGTACATGGCAGCTACACAGGCAGTGAAGGAAGTTATACGGTTGAGAGGCTTGGTTGGTGATTTGGGCTTGCAGCACGATGATTTGACAGTGTTTTGCGACAACCAAAGTGCCATACATCTAATTAAAAATCAGATGTTCCATAAGAGAACCAAGCGCATTGATGTCAGGTTTCACTTCATCAGAGATATTGCACAGGATGTTATTGCAGTAAGGAAGATTGGGAGAGCAGAGAATCCGGTAGGTATGATGACTATGGTCATTCCTACACTCAAGTTTAGACACTGTTTGGACTTAATTGGTACTTGCAATTGCTAGGCCCTTAGGGGCATGTGGAGGAGGCAAAAGGAGTAGCTGGAGATTGTGGAGCTTGGCGTAATTCGAGCCAAGGTGGAGATTTATGATGTTGTGGCCCGAATTTGGCGCGAAGTCGCGTTACGACCCGCTTATGACCCGACAACCCGTTTGTTAAGCTTTGTGTGGGCCCAAGGCCACCAAAGCTGTGGGGGTCCGGGGGTGTTAAAATTGAATAAAGAGACAAAGTATGGAAAACACAAAGGTAGGGATATACATGGTTCAGCCACCAAGGCTTACATCAACGACACACAAAATTTATAGGGCTACATCACTTTTATTATATTCTCTCTTTTTATTCACAATACAATTCTGGAGGCTCATCTATGTCGGAGAACAAATGATGAGAATGAAAAGAGTTAGAAAATAGGAAACACCATCAATACTAGATGATTTTTCTCCTCTGATTTCTCTAGCAACAGTAAATCTTCAATAATAGGAAAGAATATCAATACTAGAGGATTCTCCTCCACTTGTTCCTCCAGTAAATTTTCGACACTCCCCCTCAAGTTGGAGCATGAATGCTCAACTTACCATTTAGATGACAAGTAGCAGCAAGTGCAAATGATGAAGAGGTGTATGATAAAGAGGTGTAACAAGATGACCTCAATAAAAATAGATTCAGAGATCTAAGATGAGAACAGCAGCCTTAATTGATGAAGAGGTGTAAGAAGGCAACCTCAATAAAATTAGATCCAGATATCTGAGAAGAGTAGCTACAATTCACCTCAATTAATGAAGAGGTGTAAGAAGTCGACCTCAATAAAAATGGATCCGGAGATCCAAGACGAGAACCAAAAATGGCTTAAATGAAAAGAGAGAAATGAACACAGGACCTTGTCTGCTCTGATACCATGTTGCAAAACATAAAACGAAAGCGAGGAGATAAATAAAACAAGTAGAACACAGAGATATTACGCGGTTCAGCCACTAGGACCTACATCCACGGCGCACAAAATCTAAAGGGCTACATCACTTTTATTATATTCTCTGTTTTTTATTCACAATACAATTGTGGAGGCTCATCTATGTTGGAGAACAAATGATGAGAATGAAAAGAGTTAGAAAATAGGAAACACCAGCAATACTAGATGATTTTTCTCCATTGATTTCTCTAGTAACGGTAAATCTTCAATAATAGGAAAGAATATCAATACTGGAGGATTTTCCTCCACTGGTTCCTCCAGTAAATTTTCGATATTTTTGACCCGTTTCTACTCATGGGTCACGGACCCTAATTAGTACTCTCTTGTAGCCCGATACATAAGGGTGTTTAGGGTTTGGAGTGGGGTGTGAGAGAGACACTAAAATTCATACATAATTAAGAGTGACAGGCTGAAGACATTTGCCGGATCTCCACCGTAGATATAGGTTTTGCCAAACCACGTGTAAATCTTTGTATGGTGTGTTTATTTTTCTATCGTGTTTCATAATTGTTGCTTAGTTCGTTGCGTTTGTCGTAACACAAGCTTTTACACATTTCTCTTCTCTTTCTTCTATATTGTATTTCTTCTATTAGAAAGAGGTAAACCCAATCAAATTTTTATTTAATGAGAAATAACACAAATTTTGAAAACAGAACCGTAGGTCATCCTGGAAATTTTTCAGCGGACATTCTTTGATTTAGTGCTAAAGTCATGAGGACACAGGATTGAATCTGCGTAGCCACTTCCTGAGAGTAGTGCCAAATTCTAGACCATTACCAATCTGTTCCCCAAAACTCTCTGATTGAACTTGGACCACACTATGCAATGACATTCCCAAAACTTGTCAATTAAAATCAATCAGCTGCATAACCTAAATACAAGCAATGATAAAGGATATCCTAGGTAAGTAGAAAACTGTACAAACCCACCCATGAAACGGTCATGCAATTTGTCAGAATCACCATTTAGATAAATCAATAATGTATGCCATTCATTACCTACATAAATGACAAAAAAAATAAATAAATAAGGTTATAGAATTAAAAATAAAAATTATTTGTTTTGCTGAAATAAAATGTAGATTACCTCAAAATGCAATCCAATGAATATGACACTATAATACCTTTTACAGTAATCAGCCCCTTCACACTAACAGTCAAATTAAGCTCCTCCAAGTTGCTCAAAGCACAAAAGTCTACAAAAAATGAAAATTTTGTTGTTTATATGTTAATAAATTTTGTTACTTTATATTGTACTTTGTTTCATATACAATTGGGTGCCCGTATTAATTGACAAATTTATGCTTTATGCGGTTATTAGCATGAAAAAAACTGGAACAAATATATATATATATATAGAATAATTGAAGAAATGACTTACCAGTCTGAAGTGATGAAAGCACTCTAAAAGATGGTAGGGCCGTAGGATGCTGTAATTGTAAAAATTATAATGCACGATAAGGGCCTTCAGCTTGTTCAAGACTCAAGTTCAACCCAAATTGACCAATTAGTCTTTCAAATCCTGCAAAGGGATACCCTGTTTCAGTCATTATCTAATATTTATAACTAAAATTCATACAATAAAAATATATATATTATATAAAAAAGATCATAAAAAATTTCACCAAATAAGATTTAGTTTGCAAAACAAGAATTACAGACCTTGATTAATTGATTTAGAAAAAAAAAAAAATTTAAAACAAAACACATACATACAAGTTAGCAGTTGCAGAGAGAGAAGCTTGGGAGTTGAGAGACAGCGGCTGAAGCTTGCGATCGGCGAACCCGAACTGGAACAGCGGGCGATGGAAACTGAAAGATATTGGTTTTGATTTTTTGAAGAATCTGAAATGATATGCCGATAGATAATCTGAAATATATGGGTTTTGACTTCTGATTCTTGAAGATTTTGTAGTTTACAGCTGCAGACAGAGAGAGAGTTGAGAACGAGAATAGAGTAATAAAGATTTGAAAAGAATAGTCTTCTCCCTAGTCCACGCTTTATTGTGTGAGACAACGATATATAAATCATTTTTTTTTTTTTTTGCTTTTTTTCTTTTCTTAACAAGGAACTCACGCTATTTGAACGCTCAACCAATTTGAAAGGTGAAGAAGAATTAGCAATAAACTATTTTATTGTTATATAAAAATCAAAATAAAAAAGGAATAATTTAATAAAGGACAAGTTTTTTTACTGGATTACAAATATGATTGTATTCAAATAGTATGTAAGTGAAATAGTTAATAAACAAAACTAATTACTAATACGGTAAATATAATGTCCTTTTTACTCTTCTCTAATCTCTCTTTATCACCACTTTCTCTCTCCAGACTACTTTCTATGCCCTATGTCATAGCGGATCAAAAAATTTTACCACCACTCTCAGCCTCCCCAATCCCGCACCCTTGTTAAGTAGGTTTGATAATGCTATTTGAATATTATTAAAAATGTTAAAATAAAATTTTAAATGGCACAAATATCTCTTATCAATCAATGTTAAACAATTAGAATTTAAAAAATTTATTTTTTAATTACCACTTAAATATTCCGCATTTAATGTTCAATATTATCAAACACCTCCTTAATTCGGTATACAAAATCATAATTTACTATTTATTTGATCAAATAATTTGTGGGAACTTAATGATTCTTGTACCAAATAGTTGCAATGAATTGCTAGACGTACTTTTTTTAATTGGTCAATTATTTAATAAATAAGGAAGTAAAGCCCTTTACTTAGTTGTATTAGGTATAAATAGCTAATTAAAAATTATTTGGTTAGATAATTTATTACAAGTATTTGGTATGAGTATAACTACTCCCTTAATTAAAAATTATTCTATTAGGCAGTAATTCACTACTCGGTGTGAGTATCACTGTTCCTTCATAATTCGGTCCTTATTTTTATTTTTTTACAAAATTATGCAATTTGTTTTATTAAATTTTTTGATTCAGCATGATTTTTTCTTTTAAAAAAAAAAAGGTGTTCTCAGAAGATCTTTAACTAATTTTATAGAAAACTTGCACAAATTCTCAAATTGTGTGTGTGTGTGTGTTTTTTTTTTTTTTCAATTCTCTAGTAACAGAAAATCCTTAAAAAAAAAAACGAACTTCTTTTTTCAGCGTAATTCATTCCAAAAACGCTGGCCCAACTGTCCATTTAAAATTCCTTCTCTCACGTTATCTGTACCTCTTGGAAACTATCATTAGCCTAAATTTTTTTATTTTTGTATAGCAGAAATTATCATTAGCCTAGATTTTTAGAATTTTTTTGGTCAGAGTCAGATTTTGTTCACACACACATGTAAGTTTGGCCAATTTCCATTCGGAGGTGAAAATGCCAACAAAAATAGCAGACCAAGTTCCATATACTAATTGTGGAGGCTCACCAAACCCATTTTAGCTTACCTTTTGAACTACAACCAAGTCCAAAATGGCTGTAGTTTGATATATATATATATATATAGCCCACTACTGTAGTGCGTATAGTGGGAATCTGCTAGATATATATACCAAACCCATTTTAGCTTACCTTTTTTGAACTACAACTATCTAAGTCGTAAATGGTTGTAGTTTGATATATAATTATATATATATATATATATAGCCCACTACTGTAGTGCGTACGGTGGGAATCTGCTAGATATATATATATATATCCAAACCCATTTTTGATTACCTTTTTTGAACAACTATCTAAGTCGAAAATGGTTGTAGTTTGATATATAATTTTATATATATATAGCCCACTACTGTAGTGCGTATGGTGGGAATCTGCTAGAAATATATACCAAATCCATTTTAGTTTACCCTTAGAACTGCAACTATCCAAGCCTCCAAGGCATTTCAAAAAGGTGTTCACTGAGATACTCCCACCACCGCCACACACATTAATGAATTGATTGATGAGGTTTAAAGGAAAAGAATAGCAGCATTAGAAAATTTGGGATAGCAGTTTTCTAAAACAAACAAATTTATTCAGAAATTCATATTAAAATCTGTTTTGCAGCTCTCTGTGTCTTCTTTCTAAAACCCGAAGTCTTGTAATTTTGTCTTTACTCTAAATTTTTTAAAAGACCAAATTTTGTTGGCTACTTGCAGTAAAAATTTCAAAACATTTTGAGAACAGTCTAAGAAAAATGAACTCACAACATGCAAATTTTTCATTAGCAGTGTCTATTTTTAATTTTCTTTTCAAAATATATCAATCCCTAATATAAATAAGCTAATCGGTAATATACAACCTATTTAAAGGGAATTGAACAACTATTATATATTGAACCTTGGGTTTTCTCAACTTGAAACTTCACTAGCAGATTCTCCACATGGTTAAACAAATAGATTGAAAACAAAAAGGTGCATATCAATTTTATCAAAATGTTTCAAGGTTCGTCAAATGTGTTTCATTATTTTTTTTTCCCTGAATAAATGTATTTCATTATAGCTAAAACGTAAACTATATATTTTTTTTATTTTTGTTTTTCGGTGTTTGACAAAGGTTTAGGTCAAGGTTGAAGTCGAATCCATCGAGTCGAGCATATAAAATAACTTGCAGAAAATTGATAAATAAATTATTTTGTTAGGTTTTTAATAATTTTTTCTTCATAAATATTTTACGACAACCAAACACCAAAAAATATTTTATGCCCAAACAAACGGAATTTGGATCTTTAACATACAAAATAAGATCTCGGACCACCACATCATACAAATAGGAAACCGCATTTAGAAAACAATTGTGGCATTATGGCAGACCCAATGAACCCTTTCCGAGATTAAAGTATGAAGGAAATGAGTTATGACAACGTCTAGGTCGCTTCACAATTGTCAAACTAGGTGAGAGTGGTTCAAGAAGCCTTTAGTCAAATTTAAATTTATAAAACCACTACAACTACTACTACTAATGTAGCAAAGGGAGTAGGGATCGTCCCAAGAGACCGCAAGCGTATTTTGGAATCAAATTCGAACTAGTAAGTCGAATGATCAAAGATCGGGTCAGTTGGTTTAATTAAACTACAATTGGATTGAAAACATGTAATGTAAACAAGCGAAAATATGATTAAGGTGAGAGAATATGAGAGAACTCTAAGGGCATTGGAATCACCGCTAAGCTCTTCTTCTAAACCACTAGTCTTTGACAAATTTGGGAAAATTAAATATTGTAAACCAAGTGTGTGCTAACAATTGAAACAATGAGCATGGATGACTAAACAAGTGTGAATTGTCTACTTAGGCTAGTGTGTAGCACAACCCATCAAGTGAAGACATTAACCATTCAATAAACCCACAATTGTGGCACACAACAATCTAGAGAAATGTACATCATGTAACAAAAAGCATGAATTATCAAATACAAGTATGGATTGTCTACCTATCTAGGAATTTAAATGCAATTACACTACAATTATACTAATGACAAGAAAATTAAGTTAATTAACTAAGGTTGTAGAACAATTTATCAAGTATAATCTATCAAATCAATCACAAGTGTAACCAATAAGCACTATGCATGACCATCACTAGATTCACAATTCAAACACGTATAGACATGCATCAAATTTATAAAATCTAATGTAGAGACATAACCATCCATTTCATCACATAGACATGTAAATAAAATTGGAAGATTAATTGGAAGAATTGAATCATGTAAATCACAAGATTTATTAAATCACAATATCGACACATTATTTACAACAAAAATCCCCAAAAATATCAAAGAGCTAGAGATTTAGAAGGCAAGCCTAGGGGCTTTTCCAAGTCCCAAGCGGAGGATCTAGCCACTCATGGATGTTGTATTGCAACCCTCAAGGGCTATCTTCATAGTTAATTCATCTTCTTGTTCCTTTATTGGCTCTTCTCTTGCTCAAGAAACCCTAATCTAGAGAGAGAAAACTATTTCTAAGGTAGCTAAAAATTAAGAACAAAACTTAGAACAAAAAGTGGAACTCTATACACTTGGTTCAATTTAATTTAAATACAAGCCCCTTTGTGTAGGCAACAAGTCAGAAAATAGCTATTTCATTGGTCTAATTCTGCAGCCAAAAGTTAGGTGGAATTTGAGTGCGCTCGGGAATTAAACAGCTCACTGCTAGCAGGATTTTCGATGGATCCAAACGGCCTTCAATGGATCGTAAAGTACTTCGATCGATCGCAAATAACGTGGTATGCTTATCTTGACAACTGGCAACCTTATCTGCTTAGCTAGCGCTGACGTGGCACTGCGATCGATTGCCAAAAGCTTCGATTGATCATAACTTTGGTCGAACGATGAGGTGGCAGTCTTATCCCTTTGCTGGCGTGGCTTCAAAGGATCACCAACCTTCGATCGATCATAGATGAATTTTCAATCGATCGAGATTGCTCCAGGGCAAATTTTCAGAATTTTTTTGGATTTTCTTCTTGTAACGACTTGGTCATTTGCCTTCCTTTCCTTTTTCCTAAAATTTTACGAATGAATTTTTTTCGTTTAATTTTCTTTTCTGAGCTCTGTTTCGTGTCGCTTAGTGTCATCTCGAGTGCTCGGAATTGGTTCCTGAGACTCTTTTCCGTAGATTGACAACTTTCTTTGAGGACCGAGTCATTTCTGCATTTTCACTTTTCGGACACTATGCGCCTTTCGTCATTTTCCCTGTTTCGTCTTTTTCCCTATTCTGTCTTTTCCCCATTTGTCACATTGTTAGCACAACCTCACTTCTCATGCTTGGAGTTGGTTTTTGACTTCACGTGCCTTCATCTTGAGTGGTTTCCTCGAAATACGTATCTTTACTTTTGCAAGAAATTACTCTTGTTGCTCCCGGTGTCCATAGGGGCATGGATGTAAAGTTCTTTGAAATTATTTTCTTTTCTTGGGGTGTTTTTCGTAAATATCTTTTGAAGATATTTTAGTTCAGGGGTTTTTAAGAAAATATTTTTGGAAGATATTTTCATTTTGGGCCATAAGTGCAGTTTTCACTTTTTGGAGGGGCCATTGTGCAATTAATGAAAGTTATTGCAAAATGTCTTGTTTTGAGCCTGGATCCTCATACGGGATTCATTTTCACATTTCGTCGAGTTGTGTACTCTTGGAATTTCCTCCTGATCGATATTTTCCAGTTTCAGGGTTTCTGGCCCCGGTTTTCGCCAAACTTGTTTTGGGCATAACTTTTTGTTCGGGACTTAGTTTTTGACGTCGTTTCTTCCGTTATTCATATTTTATCATTTTAAATCTTTTTCGTTCACAAAGTTTTGCCATTTGAGCGCGTCTGCTCAAATTTTACTTTTTGGACCTGGCGGGGCCCGTTCGGGA